AGAACGTCATGTGAAAGCCATCATGGTACCAACCTGGTATCCTTCACATCTAAGGTGAACTACGGCATTATTTTACGCTGGCTGATCGATTATCGGAGTAACAGATTCGAGGAAATCAACTGGGTTTCGGCCAAGTCGAGGGTGCATCGACCGTATCTCTACCTTGAGGCAAATTCCGGAACAGAGCCACTGCTCCACACGTCCCACTTTGGTCGTTTTTTGGATCTGAAAGCTGAATTTGATTCTGTCGATCGTCGAAAACTTTGCCAGTGTCTGCCGATCAAAGGTGTCCCTTCCAAATTTCTTTCTTATGAGGGTACTGTATGTGAACTCCTGTGGTCGCTTAGAAGTATAGGGTAAGCGTTCGCCTGGGTTCAACTCGTCCAGTGGCGCAAGACAAGGCTGCTCTCTCACCTTTGCTCTTCAACTTTGTCATCAATGTGGTGCTTGAAATTTCCCTGTCTGCTTCCGAAACCTCCGTAAGCGGAACGCTAATGGGATGTTCCCCCATAGATATTGAGTATGCTGATGATATTGCTCTACTTGGTTCGGATTGTTCAAAAACGTAATTTTAAATGACCGCAATAATTCTGCGGTTGGGCATGCGCTGCACATCCGCAAAGTGTAAAGTGCTGCTATATGACTGGATAGGATCAAACCAAAACCTCATGCTTGCAGACGAGCTAATCGACATGGTAGATAAATCTGTTTACCTGGACAGTTTCATAAACTCCGGTGGACTGGCTGGAGATGAAATTATTTCTCAAATCAGGAAAATCAAGGCAACTTTTGCCAACATAGGACAACTATGGCGCTGATGTGACGTGAGTCTGTCTGCCAAGAGCAGAGCTGAAAATGCGACGGAGCAATCCGTTCTGCTTTATGGATCACAGATGTGGCCCCTACGCGCAGAGGACATACAAAAGACGTCAGTGTTTGATCATCGGTGGGAACATTTGGATTAGTAATGCTGAGGTACGCCAGATGTTCTTATGGAAAAGGAACTCTCCCGCAATAGATAAATTACTCAAGCTTCATAGGTTACGCTGAATAGGACATGCACTCTGGATGGCAGAGGACCGTTTGCCTGACAGTGCTCTTCTCGCCCAACCCTGTGCTGACCGAGAGGTGGACATCGTCTGACCTGGCAACGAAGTATGGAAACACACGACCAGTAAATTTAGTCGGATCGACAACTACCGCCTCTCCGAATGGGAAGCCCGGGACTCAACTCACCAATGGTTAATGACATTGGCAGAGATAGCCCTATCGCGCAGTCAATGGAGCTGGTGCATCAAAGCTATCGCCTTCAATGCGTAGCCACCCGGTTCCCGAGGCAACCAAACCTGCCATCGCCTCCAATAATTTGCTATATGTTCCATACTACCACTTCCCGGTGATGGAAACTGTAGCAGCGGGAAGCATTGTGGCTATTGTACACGGTTTACAGCTGATAAGTTGATTGCTATAGATATTCTGTATATAAACATAAGTCAACGCGTTCCTCACAATCACGCTTGAATTGTGCTGTTACTCTCATTTCACCGTTCCGGATTTCACTTGTTATTTTGACACAACGACACATTATCGTTCCAAGCTGGGATCACGTTAACATCGACTTTCCCCATGGACTAAGCAACCATCCTTTATATCGATTACCTGTGATCATGGTAACATTCACCCACGTGACCTTTAAGATCGTAGCCTCACGTTGTGGACCGTAAAGTTATGAGCCAGTCAGCTGATGTTCATGATGTGATTAGACAGGTTTAGCTTATTTTAATGAGTTGTGATCATTCAGAACAACCTTACTACCTTAGCGAAATACACTCATTGGCAAACTAATTTGGTTTTGCGAGAGACTTACCTGATAAGTCCTTTCAACATTTCTAACATTCCAATTTTGTCAATTTCTAAACGAGCGGTTACCAGTACCCTTAAAAAATGTAAATAGGCTGTTGACCGTTGGTACAGGACACCTATTACACAAGGCCTTAAACTAGGATGTTTCATTATGCTTAATCATCTATACGTATGTTGACACCTGTCAAATGTTCGAAAAATGGTACAAACTTAAGAATTGTGAAATAAGCGTCCTCTCATTGGACATAACGCGATAAGCAGGGTGCGGGCATCTATGTCGAAAACACACACGATTTCGGTCGCGAACGACAATGTTGTAGTTCTAGACTTGTTAGCCACTTAATGGAGGCTTCTGAGCTTTAGCACGGTGACGTTTTCGTAGATAATAACAGTTTGTCATTATAAGGGGTTCCTTATATTTGTAGATCTCACAAGGACCACAATGATAATAAACTGGCTTAAGTGGTATAATTTTATTAGAAGTGAAATGTGAGGTATTTCCCTCATTGCTTGCTTGTATGGTGAACAGATGGTATCTGTCTACATCACTCCACAGAGAGACGGTCTTCGAAACTGAGACCGCCTTGGCCGTTCTCGTGTTTTTTTTTTTTTTTGGGGGGGGGGTGGGGTGGGGGGCGCCGGGCNGTGCACACCCAGCGAACCTTTTTTCCTCAAGGTTTTGTACTGCCGAGTTATTCACAAGCATCCTGTTCATTGTTACATGTGTAGCCGTGGACTCAACCTATGATAGATATACAGCTAGCGCAGTCAACCCTCGACTATTGTCAGCAGCAGTTCGAGTACTTGCAGGATGGACGACATTACCGCCTGCCAATGCAAGGGCTCCGTATCAAACCGGCTTGATATGACCCCGAGTGATGTGCTCTGATTGTTGCGCAGTTATATCCGAAAATCAACCGTCCGGTGGTTCCTTTACACACTCTCTCTCAGTCGAAATCATGGTTAGACAACGGGTTCATGTCTGTCCTGGAGCGAGATCAAAGTCTGAATGCACAGTGCTAGAAGTTCCGCCTGTGACACGCTGCTACCATGCTCATTCAAACACTGGATATCCGACCGAACGGTGGTACTGCTTAAATCTCGGAGAAATATCCCAGTCGGTCCCGAACATAACTTGAGGCGACGAATTATCAGACGTCAAGTCAAAGTGAGCGTGTGAACCGATTGTGAATTCTGGTGGACACAGGAAACCAAGGAAATGGAAAAGGCCCAGGAGATTATTTCAGTTGATCCGCACGACCGGTCCCCGGAAACCTGCTGACACGTTTGCCTATCATTGAATGGCCTAGAGGTTGACGGACATCAGACTTCCAGTCGTGTGAGAGAGCTATCCAAGAGCTCCTGTACACAAGGTGGTGTCCGTTAGGGGTGATCGATGAGAAAACGAGACGAAAGCTGGGTCTTCAAAACGACGATGTTCTAATAGCCTCTGACGAAAACCGTCGATCCAGAATATGCAGATGACATCGTTCTCGTCTTGGAAGAGAAGGCGCAGATATTTTTGGATGAGCTGACCAAAGTCATCTCATCCTTTGGGATGTACTTTGCGCCCACAAAGCGTAAGGTCATGCTCGTCGACATGCAGTCACTGAACACGCCAGTCACTATCCAGGGATAGACACAAGAAATTGTGGAGCGTTCTACTTCCCTTGGGAAGTCTTGTTAGTTCGGATTAGTGTGACAGATGAGGCCAGTGCACAAAACTGCAAGGCTCGGATCGCGTTTCCTAATTTTACACCTATGACGGTAAAACGGTCCATCAAGCTTGTGTACGGGCTGTCTTGTTGTAGGGCTGAGACTTGGCCTGTTCGGGCAGCGGAACTGGGACGTCTTCAAGTCTTCGACAACTGTCATCTCGGAACCAGAGCTTGTGCAGGGTGGTGGCAACGAATTCACGAAACAATTAGGAAGTGGCTGTTCGGTCGTGCAACAGGGACTTCCGTTGAAAATCGTGTCCAGTCCTACAAGCTACGCTGGTTAGGCCGTGTATTGTGTATTCCGAACCGTGTGATCCCCATTGCACCTGGTTGGAGACGCTGCGAGATATGCCTGTGATCGATGTCAATGGCGTTCGTGGTGTCGTTTCTATCCAGATAGTTTGAATGAGTACCTGGAGGTATGGGCACCTCGGGATGACTGTTGTAGGCTAGCAATAAGTCCTTTCACTGTCCACATTTATTCTCTTTTCTACACTAAGATCATGGTTGTATGGCAGCGAAGCATCAGTGTTGAACACTGACGTCGTGCTGTCCATGATGATGATGGATGTCAGTCTGTTTTATCTCTCATTCGTAGTGTCAAACTTCTTCGCCATGCGCCACACAAGTTGCAGATCCCAGCAACTGGTAAATAAAACAGACGCGCAAAAGGGCACCTATCTGCACATAACACCTGCCACTGGGTGCTTCCTGTGGCAACCCATCCTCCCGTTTTACATATAGCTTGTACTATGCGATATGTCAAACAGATCGACCAGGCTGCTCCCGTTGCATTTTTGAAACTCAGACGTAAAATATTTAGGTTATCGTCTATGATGTTCACGATCACGGCACTGAAGCATCAAAACTAATGTTATCGTCTCTGATGATTAATTACTCTGTACTAATGATGACTTCGAAACTAGCACGTCGGTGTGGTGTCATTTTGACCGTTTTTAGCGTCGAAAGTTTCAGTTGGATTATGTTCAGTCTTTCCACAGTAAGTGGAAGGAGAGCTAGCACTTGTACTGTTGTACATAACAGCTTTCGGAGGTGTTCACAGACTCTCCTCTCAAGTCGTTCAGACATAGTATCGCTGAGAAAAGCTCTTGTTAAAAAGCTAAGTTCCAGTGAGAACAACTTAGCCACTGTCAGATTCCAAATAAGTATCAATGAAAAGTCTGGCTTACAACTGGTCCCCAATGAGAGGCGGAAAGCTATGGTCAGAATATACAAGAGATATTGTATAAAGCCTTTGAGATGGACATTTACCACGTTTCCAAAAACGTGGCAAGACAAAGTAAATTCGAACCCGACATCCGACTACGTTCTATTCTCAAAATTACCTCGCCAAGAGTTATCTAAGGGCTACCAGTACACGCTCAGGTAAAACCCAATATTTAATGAGAAGACACTATTCAGGAGATAAATGTATCATGTATCATCACAAAATAAAAGCGACACGTACGTGAGGACCCCATAACCTACTGTTGGGAATCCAATAACTGTTGGTATGGTGAATATGCCAATTGACTGAGTGTTAAGCACAACAGGGCACAACCTACAAGCGAAAATAGATACAAGCAATGAGGGACCAAACGGGTCTAACCGCAGGGTGCCAGGCAAGGGGGCTATCGTCGGGCACGGTGTGGTGGCGATGCAGCGGCAGAAAAATCTGCGCCACTGTTTCGAGAATCCGCTCTCAGTGATAAAAAGCTGAAGAAAGTAGACCAAACCACACAGAGAATGAGAACACCAATCCACAGCAAAGCTTATAGACAAATGAATCACCCGAAGGGGTGTACAATGCACACACAAAAGTAAACAGAATGGAAAATGAAAGCAAACGGATTGGAAAGCAGAGTAAGACTTTCAGGGAAGACATACATAACATGAGGAAAATGCAAGCTGTAAAGGACATGCGGAATGAAGAATCAGGATGTGCGTGTCGATAATCCACAGTAGTGGCAAGCGAAGTCTACACTGGATAGACCTCAATTTGGCCTCCGGGTGATCCAAAAGTCATACCTTGCGAAAACAGACATTCGGAAAACAACACAGCCGAAGAAGCCAGAGAATGATATGGAGAGCGGAAACGTAGAATCACACGCGCAGATATTTACCATCGCTATGTGCATTAATAATTAGAGTTTGATCGAAAGCATGCGGTGATATTTGCTGCTTTCAATGGTTCCCATTGCAGTCGTTGGCAACATAAAGTGTGCACTGTACGTGCTCTGTGCGCTGAAAGTCAAGCCATCACAACATTGAGCCGTTGAACCGATCTGAGTAGATAGCGAAACAATACCAGACTAGATCTGAAGAACAGTGAGATCACAGTATGACTGGTGAGCCCAAAAGTATTGGTGTGCGTGGTGGCACGGGCAACATAGATTGAAGTCTGAAATGAAGCGAATGTATTTGTATGGCGCAGTTGAATGTATGGGCGATGCAGTCTGTTAGACGGCAAGCCTGCTCCTATACGCACTAAATCTTGGGTAGTTTGGAGGCAGTGACCACTGGGTTTGCATCGATCAGTGCCTGTCTGCCTTCAGCTTTGTAATCGAATGGACATGTATGGACCTCAGCGTACCGGTGACGAGAGCAGAAATTTCGGCCACAGCTAGAGCAAAAAAAGAAAGAGTGAGGATCAGACAGGATCCCCAGAAATCATGATGTGTATCTTTTAACGGTGAGAAGCTAAGCTGTTTCATGAGCCCAAAAAATAACTGGCTTCAAGGTTGACAAGTCAAAACACACCACGGATTTTCGGAACGTGGTGGCTAGATAGTAGAATCCAATGGCATGAACAAATGTAAATAATGGACGAGCATCATGAGAAGCTAGGATGTTTCCAAGCATAAGCTTTACCTTAGAAAACCGAAAACCCTACATTTCAGACCAGGAACTGCAGTCTCTCAGGGTACAGCGCTTACCAGCTAATAAAGTTGAACGATTTAAGAATGAAGGGAAAATGCAAGAGTCAATTGTTAAGACGAAATCCTAGCCCCATACAAAGGATGCAATAATGGCCGACAGAGATCAACAGTGATGTGCTGAAGTAAGATAGAGTCCACATGCATATGTGCGTCAACGGGCGCCCGCCGTAACTCAACTTCAACCGCCTTCATTCGAGACGCCAGTTGCCGTCCTGATCGCCCCGGCATCCGTGGATTCATTCGAATTAAAGTACTTGAGTTCCCACTCATCCGAGCTTTTCAATGTCTCAGTAGGATCTACAGTGGGGGGTTGTACATCGATCTAACCCAACTACTACAAGATTCTTCCAAAGGCATGCTAAACAAAGCCTCTGTCGAGAAAGTCGCCATCATCTACAACACAACAACGGTGTTCAACACTGATGCTTCACTGCCGCACTGCCAGGAAAGTCTCATTCATTACCGTGTCATGGCAATTTTCTCTGAAGTGAGGAACAACTTATTATTTGCCCAGGAGAGCTAGCCAAAACTTGATTTCAAGCTATCAGCGGATGAAGTACACACTGAGAGTGAGGTGGACAAGTCGAACTAAAGGCCGCTTACCAGAAAGCATTTTGGACAAAAAGCGAACTGAGTACATTACGACCAGTTTCCATTCATAGGACATACGAAATGGAAACAACCACAGGCTCTCAGTGGATGGAGACCTTCTTTCTTTTCTAGGAGACTTCGTTTCGAAACCAAGGTCCCATCACCATCATCGACAGCATGAAATCAATGTTCAACACCGATGCTTCACTGCCGTACAACCATGACTTATTTGAAAGCCTTATTGTAGAGAAAAGAATAAAGGTGGATGGGGGAGGGACTTAGTGCTAGCTTTACACAATCATTCCGAGGTGCCTACACCTCCAGACATTCACTCAGGCAATCTGGATAGAAACTGACA